CCTGATCCGCTTTTCCTACTACACACAACCGCCATCCGGCCACACCATGCACTGTGCATCCTGGCTGCTGCCCTAACGGCTCCTGCTCAGTCCTCGCCCCACCCCAAACCTAACCACCACCCTCTTCCCGACCGCTCAGCACACATCTCAGCAGTGCAAAGAGCATGGGGCGTGCGGCAGCAGCTAGCCCTATCCGGCGAGTTCTGGAATGTTGGGGCTTCGGGCCGCCCCAGATCTACCGGGTTAAGCGGCTCCCTGGCTTGAGGACCAGAGTGATCCTCCTTCAGTTTCAGGCCCCGGGTCTGATCCCCCCACACACACAGCGGGAGAAGAGAGCAGAGGATCCAGACTGCTCCCTCTGGGGCTTTGCAGTCACTGGGAGGGGAAGAGTCCGGCGGGGGAGACATAGAAGCTTCAAGAAACTAATTACAATTTTTGAAGGCAGGAGAGCATTGAAAACAGGAAAGGAACCGCGGTGGCTGGCTCGCTGCTGCCCCCTGGTGGAGAACTACGGCAGGCACCGCACGCGGCCCACGCTTGCAGTTTTAATTCAACCTGGTCAGGATGCTGAGGATCAAGTGGGGGGCGGAAAGGTGTGCTACAGGAGGGTCCTGCTCCAGTGGGGGTGGCAGACCAGAAAACAGTCGCCATGGGGCATGCTGACAGATGTGTCCATTCATTCACTGCGGGGCAGGAGCATGGAGACAGAATGGAGCCAGCCTTGCTAAGGAGAAGAAACCAAGGAGTCCACTGTGGCTGGGGTAAAATTCACCAGGACAAGACTAGGGTGAGAAGAGGTAGGAGAGGTGGAGAGGAACTCTATGGTACAGTCCTTAGGGGTCAAGAGTCAGGGGTCAGCTCAGTGTGTGCGTTCCAGGAGGAGCCTCTGGGAAAGCCAGGCTTTGGGTCGGAGGATATGAATGGGGAGGGGCCGGGAGCTCTGGGCAGAGCAGCCAGTGTGAGATGGGACACCCAGACTTCATCTGGGGTGCTGGTGGATTACTGGCTCATCCAGTTTTTCGGGTCTGCAGAGATGGCTCGGGAGAGTGCTGACTGGAGTTCAGATCCCAGCTCACAGGTAACAACCCAGGCGTGTGGCACATGCCTAGAACCCCAGCCCTGGGGAGGGCGGAGACAGGAGGATTGCTGGGACTTGCTGCCTCCTAGTGGAGAAGCATGAGTCCCAGGTTCAGAAAGACCTTGTCCCAGAGAAACGGGTAGAGAATGATGGAGGAATACATTCGGCATGTCCTTCTGAGCTCTGTGCACCACACATATGTATACACACACATACACACATACATACACACACACACACACACACACACACACTGATGTGCATATACCATACATACACATACACACAAATAAATAAATCTAGAATATACATTTTAGGGCTTGAAAGGAAAGTGAGAACACAGTCCATGCAGAAGTCAAATCCTTAGACGTCCTCAGTCCCTGGAGAGATACATGCTTCAAGCCACTGCTGGATTTTCATGGGCCAGGCATGGGGAAAGGGGTACTCAAATTATTTCTTAAACTCTTCCTGGGTACCAGATATTAACCTTCACCCTGGGAGCACACAGCAAACAGAGGTAGGTACCCAAGCCTGTGGAGGAGGGGCACCCAATGAGAGGCAAAAAATGAGATGTGGTAGCATAGCTACCTGTGGATATCACAGAAGGGAGGCAGTAGTGAGGAAACTCAGAGCCGGTCGCCATCGTTCCCCCCCACCGGGAGGTCTGAGTGGCAGCCGCCTTTGGCCCCACAATGCTGCAAGAGCTGGGCAGAACAGCTCATGCCCCATGCTGTCCAGAAGGCAACTCAGAAGCAGGACGTAGCACGCTGTTGCCATGGGAACTTCAGAAGTACCTGAGATGGAGCCAGCAGCATGAACTAGACTGGTGGTGTTTTTCTTTTTTTTTTTAAGATTAATTTTGGGGGCTGGAGAGATGGCTCAGAGGTTAGGAGCACTGGCTTCTCTTCCAAAGGACCCGGGTTCAATTCCCAGCACCCACATGGCAGCTCACAACTGTCTGTGACTCCAGTTCCAGGGGATCTGATGCCCTCACATAGACATGTGTGCTGGCAAAACACCAATGCACATTAAATATTTTTTAAAAAAAAATATTAATTTTGTTGCTTGGTTGGTTTAGTTTGAAGGCTTTTTTGTTTTGGTTTGATTTGGTTTGGTTTATTTTTTCCTCTGAGACAGGGTTTCTCTGTGTAGTTCTGGCTGTCCTGGAACTGGATTTGTAGACCAGGCTGGCCTCAAACTCAGAGATCCGCCTGCCTCTGCCTCCCGAGTGCTGGGATTAAAGACGTGTGCCACCACTGCCCAGCTGGTTTAATTTTTTTGAGACAGGATCTCATATGTGGCCCTGACTACCCTGAACTTGCTATATAGACTAGGCTGGCCTCAAACTCAGAGATCCACCTGCCTCATCCTCTCAAATGCTGGGACTAAAGGTGTAAAATGTGTCTTGTGTGTGTGTGTATGCAAAGATATGCATGCACATGTCTGTCTACATATACATATATGTATATGAGTTTATGCTTCATATCTGAAGGAACCCGAAGAGGCCAGAAGAGGACATCGATCCCCTGGAGCTGGAGTTTCAGGCAGTTGTGAGTTGCCATGTGGGTGCTCGAACTCAAACCAAGATCCTCTGAAAGAGCAGAAAGTACTCCTGGCCCCTCAGCCATCCTTTCAATGCACAGATTGTTATCTTTTCAGGCCACAGCTTACCACCCCTAAGTGACATGCAGGAGTGGCAGACCATGGCCAGCATCTGATAGAGGGCAGGGCATACAGTTAGGATGCGACTCCATGGTAGAGCACTTGCCTAGCAGAGTCAAGACTCTGGGTCCAGTCGCCAGCAGCACACATCTACAAGTGGAGACACTACAGATACAATAGCGATGAATCTAAAATATCTGTCTCCCCGCCATGCCTGCCAGGCTGGATTCTCTGTCAGGAAACACGCCTCGGCTGTATGCGTGCGTGCGTGCACGCGTGTGTGTGTGTGTGTGTGTGTGTGTGTGTGTGTGTGTGTATTGGGGGGGAGGAGCTGTGAGGGTGCAGTATAAACCAGAGCTGTTCCAGCACAGCTGGATCAAAAACATGCACAAGAAGCTGATGAGACTGTCCCTCGGAGAGCTACGAAAGCACCAATCCGGAGGGAACTTGCCAAAGCCGTAAAGCAACATCCGTCAGCGTGAACATCTCCTCCCGGGATGTCACTCCGGTGAGCCCACCCTAGAGATGTTCACACCCTACAGGTGCTCCCACCCTACAGAGACGGCAGTGCTCAGGACCGGAGGATTATGGGAGACAAGTGAAGGCTTCAGAACAGGAGAAGGAAGCATGTGTGCTAGGCAGGAAGGTATTCCTGGGCTCACATCGTGAATTGCTGCAATTGGGGGGGGGGGGGTACACGTGTACACGTCTACACACTCATGTAGAGACCAGTGTTGACGTCCGCCGATTCCTTTGGCACCACCCACTTCGGGTTTTTGCTTTGTTGTTGTTTGAGGCCGTATCTCTCACTCACCTGGAGCCGGCCGAGTGGGCCAGGCTGGCTGACCAGCACGCCGCGGGGACCCACCTGTCTATGCCTCCCCAACACCGGGACAAGCCTACGCCCCACAACTGGTTTTTTCCTAACAGGGGTTCTTAAGATGGAGCGGAGGTCCTCAGGCCTGCACACTGGAAACCTGTTCGATCTGGTTCACTGGCGGGTCCTCCACCCTCCTAGCATATTAGCAGTCACTCCGTCAACCGCAATTGCTGGTTGCATGTTTTCTAACCCGAGTTAAGCATTAACAGCCTCCGGGTTGTGCCAGACCTGTGGTCGGCGGCGCCACCTTGTGGTGAGAACTGAAACAGCGGGGCTGGTTTTTTGCAACAGTTTGCAGGGGAGCCCAGGAGCCCAGAGCTAAGGCAAGTTTCAGCCACCTACTGCTAATGCTCCGCTAATAAACTCCGTGGGCTTTCGTCCTTCTTCTCTTGAGACAGGGTCTCCGTATTCCACACTGGCTTCAAACTCTCCGTGTAACCAAGGATGATCTTGAACTCCAGATCCTCTCTCTTTCCGCCTCCCAAATGCAGGGGTTAGAGTCGCGCACCACCACACCTCATTTTCAAGGTGCGGGGGATCAACCCCGGAGTCGCTCCGCAAACCCTCTACCAACTCACTGAGCTACATCCCCGGCCCCGCATCACAGTTTTTGAGCGATTAATTGGAACGTTCCAGGAAAAACGATGACAAATTTAGATTGTAAATTATTAATAAAGCAAAGCCACAGAATTTCTCTTAGAAGAAAAAGAATTTTAAAGTAATATGTCTAAAAATAATCTTACCAGTGTTATGGGGGAAAAAATGAGAGACACAGAGAGAGAGAGAGACAGAGACAGAGAGAATGAAGGAGGAGGGGGAGGGGGAAGAGAAGGAGGAAGGAGGAGGAGGAAAGAGGAGTATATACTGGTTGGCACGGCAGGATTGCTCCAGAAAATACAGTAAAAGGACAACTGTAGGTCGGTCCCTGGAGCCCAGAACCCTGGGCAATTACAACCTGATTTCTGTAACAAAGAATGCATAGTGTTTTCGCATAGAGATAAGCAGAACTGCTACTCAGGACAAGACCACTTCCCAGTGTCTGACCGATGATGAAGGACCCTGGCCTCCCAAGATTCCCACATCCAGACCCTAATACTCCAGGACCCACAGCGAGCCGTCCTCTGCAGGGTGGCATTCAAACCCCGCCTACTTCCAAATCTCACAACCATCTCTACTCTCTTACGTGCTGGACCTGCACAGGAAGCCTGACGGACAGTGGACAATCCTGACCTCCTGGGCTGCTCACCTGCTGTGTGCACATTCCTGAGACAGGACAGGGAGGCGTTGAGCCGGGCACACTCCTCCCGGTTGGCTCCGTACTTCTCTACCGTCTCGCACACCTGCTCATCTGTCATCTCTAGGAGGTCCTCCAGGCTCAGCTGGTCAGGGGAGATCTCCTAAAGGAGGGGACAAAGGCAGTCAGCTGGACCTGGAACCCAAGTGCCTGGCCAGACAGAATAGCGTGGCATTCCCATACCGCCCTCTCGTGGCACTCGGGGGAACTGCAGAGGAAAACAGCACAGCGGCGCCTCCACACTGCCCTCTGCTGGTACCCAGGGAGAGACACCGCACTGTGCAAAAAACAGTTGAATTTGGGGTCTCCTTTTTGCTACTCAGACCGGTTACTTAACCTCTCTAGGCCTTGCTCTTCTCACTTATAAAATGGGGGTGCTGAATGGAGGTGCACACTCAGTACATGATCAACATGATCCACACACGCGCGGTCCAGCTTCCGAACCCCATCCAGTCAGCCCACCCACGCCCCGTTTCGTACTTCTGTGAGTAGATGACTCTGCTGAATTTGGGCAGGGTGGACTCAGAACAAGCCAATGAGACACAAAACTTCCTCCACTCTCAGCTTCCTTCCTGATGCACCCACAGGGTCTAGGAGGCACACGGGGCCTTTTAGGAGCCTAAGAGGGAGGTAACCCAAGTGCCATGGGTGGCTTGAGGCTGGAAATGAATCTTGGAAAAATTACTGAGCACCATCAGGCTATGTGGTCAGGCTGAGGAATAATACAGAGCAAAGAAAAAGGACCTCCCTGAACAAAGGAGCTGGGGACAGGAGAAGTGGGATTCCCAGTTTGCAATGTGTTGGACGGGTGGCCTTTTCCCTGCTCTGCAAACGGTCCCCTCCCTAAACAATGTCCTCAATAAGTCTGCAAGAAGAGCCTTCACTCACAGTATCTAACGGGAGCCAAGGGTCTTACACATGCACACTATATTGTTGTTATTATTTAAATAAGGCTTGTAAATGTGTGGGTGGTGATGGTCGATATTGTGGGTGCCTTCTGCCCTCTTGTGGCCATGACTATGTATTACAATAACATTCAGAGTCGCATAAAGCAGAGTCCATAAATTCCATTTTTTTCACCAAAATAAATAAATAAATAATAATTTTGAAAAAGCTACAGGGCAAACGCCAGAGGCCAGACAGTGACTGTGAAGTCAGGGAAGGGACGGGGACAAAAACAGAGTCACTCAGAGACAAGTAGGAACCCAGTGCCGGTAAGCCTCCTTCAGCGGGACCCGCCAGGGTTGGTGGTGCAGGGTGAACAGAGAACAACGCTGTTCTAGGTGGAGCCCGGCCGCCCTGATAAAACACTCTGACCAATAGCAACCTGGGAGGAAGGGTTTACTCGGCTTACGCTCCCAGGTCACAGCTCCTCCCTGAAGAAAATCAAGACATGAACGCAAGGCAGGAATCTGGAGCGGACTCGGAGGGACTCTGGGCGCTGCCTCTTCTCAGGCTGACCTCCTTCCTTCTACAGCTCCGGGCGGGCTGCCTAGGGACGGCACCGCCCACAGTGGGCTGGGCCCGCCCGTGTCAATCAGCAATCAAGACGCTCACAGATGCGGCCCCAGGCCGCCCTGGTGAAGATGATTGTTCAGTTCGGGCTCCTTTCTCGGGTGGTTTTAGACTGCGTGGCGTTGACAGTCCGTGAAAGCTGGGACAGGTGCGCGAGCTAAAGCCCTCCTCTCCTTGCTGCGGGACCCAACTGTGCGTTTTCATCCCACGATTTAAAAGGGGTGTGTGTGTGTGTGTGTGTGTGTGTGTGTGTGTGTGTGTGTGTGTGTGTTCGGGTTATCCTGACTCTTAGGCTCCTAAGAGAGCACACGCAAACCTTTTTAATGACAAGAAAAGTGAGGAAAGCTGTAACTACCTGGGTCAGAGAAAGAAAGTTTGTGTGTGCGTTGGTAAAATCATCCCAGCTGGGATAGTATTTACTGCACCCAATACAGAGTTTCTTGTAGTACCACAAAGACCATGTGAAAGTGAAGGTGTGTATGGACATGCATGTGCGTGCATGTGTGTGCGCACACCCAGGGGTGTGTGTGTGTGTATAGTGAGTGTGTGTATGTTTGTGTATGTGTGCATGTTTGGTTTATTGGGGAACTGGACTTAGATTTTTCACACATGCCAGACAAGGAGTCTACCGTTGCACTGAATCCTCAGCCAAAGTGACTTGTTACCCCCGCCTGCAGACCCGGATGCTCAGGCCCAGATAAGTTTAAACCCTTCGCCCAAGTCACACAGCAAGTGAGTGGAGAAGCAGCATTCGAACCCAGGGCACATCTCACAGCGGGCTCCATAGATCCCTTTCCGGCGTGAGAGCAGCCCCTGGTGGACAAGCGTGTGAACTGCAGGCAGGGAGCCTTCTCCACTCCCTGGCTGGGGGACTAAGAGCCCCAAAAAGGAGTGAACTGGGGGGACCTCAGGGCCCGAAGGTTCCTGACGACTGTGGTTCATCACGTCGGAAAAGGATTCCCTTCAGTATAACCAGTACTTGTGGCTTTGAAACCAGAGGTCTCCAGACTTTAGAAAACAAGTTTTTAAGTTGTTGGGTCAAAATAAAATAAGACCAGATCTGATCATTCAAACAAAAACCGTCTGCCCATCAGGCACAGTCTGAAGACCACCACCTTCCAACCCTTCTCTAGGAGACTTACTTCTGCTTTACCTGGCCCACGAGGAGCCCTGGGTACATAAACATTTATAGAATCCCAAAGCCTTTAAGAAGTACCCTGAGCTGTGCAATCAAACTGCACCTTTTGTACCATGGTGCTTAGTTTAACTGTCAACTGGACACAATCTAGAGTCACCTAGGAAGAGAGTCTCACGGAGGGATTCTCTAGAGCAAGTTGGCACATACATGGCGGATTGTCCTGGCTACAATAATTTAGTGTGGGAAGGTCCGTCCACTATGGGCAGCGTCACTCCCTAGGCTTCAGGTTCCAGATGATAAAAAAGGAGAAAGCGAGCCGAGCATGTGTGCATGCATTCTCTCTCTGCTCTTGACAGTGGCTGTGACTGACTGTATCATTCCCTGACTCCCTGCAGTGATGGGCTGTGACCTGGAATGGTGAGCCAATCAACCCCCACTTCCTCCCCAAAAAAGTTGCTTTCATCACAATAATCGAAAAGAAAACTAAAATGTGGCCTTTCATTCATCCTAAAAATATTGTAAGAAACATGCCACCCCCAGGCATTCTGGCCATCCTGGACGTGAAACTAGTGGTGTAGAAATTCATGCAATGCCGGTGTCGTGTGTGTGTGTGTGTGTGTGTGTGTGTGTGTGTGTGTGTGTGTGTGTAACTGTGTGGATGGTAGATGGAAGAATACAGGAGCAGGGTACAGCTCAAGGTTGAGAGCTGGCAGGGCTGAGGGACATCTCACCCCTTAACGACAAGCCCTGAGTAAATGACGGCTTTGTGGTATGTGAAGTAAGGGACCCTGTGCTCCCACAGGCAGGGGCACCCCATGGTCTGCCCAACCCCAAGAAAACAAACAGACTTCAGAGACTCCCACAGGATGCCCTGGAGTCCACCCAGCCTGGTGCGCTAGCCCTACCCACTCGCCACCGGCAAGTGACTGCTCCTCTGAGCCTCAGTTTCTCTCCCTGTACCATAGAGCTCATAGTGAGACCCCAAATGTCCCTAAAAGGAGCCCCGGATGCCCAGACATCGCGACCATTCCTGCAAAGCCCTGAGCTGTTCACTGGGTGCTGTTGAGAGCCTCGCTCTGAACCAGGCATTTGATGTGGGTCACCTCCTCCTTTCATGCACCAGCTACTTCAGAAAAGAGAGGTTGGGGCTCACACCTGTGGTACCAGCACTTGGGGGGGGGCAGAAGGGGGAGGGACACAAGTTCAAGGCCACCTGTAGCTAGAGAGTGAGTTTAATGCTAGCCTGGGTTACAGGAGACTAGAAGAGGAAAGAGGAGGAGTGGGGAGGAGGGGGAGGAGGGGGAGGAGGAAGGAGCAAGGGAAGGAAGGAGTATACAAAGTTATGCACGTGTGTGTGTGTGCACATGTATGTATGTGTGTGTGTATGCACATGTGTGTATGTGTGTGTATGCACGTGTGTGTATGTGTGTATGCACGTGTGTGTGTGTGTGTGCACATGTGTGTGTATGTGTGTGTATATGTGTGCGCGCGCGCACATGTGTGTGCATGCACGCCCCCCGGACCCACCTGTTTCTGCCTCCCCAGCCCTGGCATTACCAGGGCATGCCTTCACACCCAGCTTTTGCACATGGGTTCTGAGGATTGCACTCCAGCCCCGTGTTTGCACGGCAAACACTTCACCCTCCGGCCTCCATGACCCACGTGGAAAAGACTGGTGTCCTGAGTCTCTCTGTGATCCAAGATGGCGGCCCTGGCCACAGTCGTTTACATGAAATACAATTCAGAAGCCAAGTCCTTGGTCCCACATCCTAATCACCATCCTAGTGCTCCAGAAGCCCATGTGTGCCCATGGCCGCTCTATCAGACGGCACAAACACGAAACATCCCTCACCACGGCAAAGTCGATCAGCAGCGCTGGTCCACACGGTGCCTTAGCGTGCCTCCATTGAGAGGCAGATCTAAACGAAGTCCTGACTCTAGACCACCCCCACACCCCCAACTACAAATGCTGACTCTGGAGCCTTACCCTTAACCCCCACTCAGATAACATCTGGGGTCTAACATCTGGGGTCCTGCAAGCCTTCATCTAGCACCTATTGAAGGCTGACTATGTGCCAGGGTCCGTGCTGGGCATAGCCCAAGCTCCGCCCTCTAGGAAGCAGCCAATGGCGGTCTCTGGCCAGTGAGGGCCAAGGGGTTGGGGAACTGCCTGTGGTCACCTCCAGGACTTCCTTGCGCACGTCCACGATCCGGAACCAGTGGCGGAGCTGGGGGAAGCCATCCAGTTCGGCATTGCGCTCCTGCAGGGCCACCTTCTTCTTGCAGGACAACTGCCGGCTGAAGTACTTCACCAGCTTGCTCTGCGGGGACAGAGAGCACAGAGACACGCCTCAGAGAGAGAGACTCCGCCACGGGGAGCAGGGGCGAGGAGCCCTGACAGTGCCCACTAACCCGAGCCAATTCCGTGCCAGGGAGCAGGGGCGAGGAGCCCTGACAGCCCCCACTAACCCGAGCCAATCCCGTGCCGCCAAGACTGTTGCCACCACCACGGGGACCCAGCCTGCCTTTCTGACACGGTTGGTGTCAAGCTTGCTCTGCGGTGGAACAAGACCTGAGAGATGGGAGGTGCCACGCGGAGGGAGGTGAGTCAGACATGGAGGCACCACCCTTAGGGGGGGATCACTGTAGCTCTCTTGGAAGCGGTTGGTTAAGGGGCTAGACCCCTGGTGCCTGGTCCCCTTCTGCAAGCAGCCAGTTCCTCCCCCTCCCCCTCCCCCACCACGTTACAGAGCAACAGGCTGTCTGGACCTTCCAGCTGCCAGAATCATAAGCCAAACACACACTTCCTTCCTTTATAAAGTACCTGGCCTCTGGTATCTTGTTAGAGCCGGCCTCGAACTCACAGAGATCCGCCTGGCTCTGCCTCCCGAGTGCTGGGATTAAAGGCATATGCCACCGCCACCTGGCTTGGTTTTTATTTTTAAAAATGATGAAAAAAATTCTCTTAGGACTAGGACTGAATTTCCAACAATTTCTGAGATGGTGATCGACATGTTTATACCATCTTGTACTCTGTTCTTAGGCAAAGCACTGTCCTCAGCACTGGCGATGAAAAAATCAAAATACCAATGGGCTTTAAGAAATGGTCACCACTCTGTGGTGTCAAATATCAAATGTCCGGTCAAGTTTTAGTTATTTACATAAAAACAAATAAGCATACCCATCTCATTAGTACGCATGCGTGCTTTCATATTTAATAAATGGTGACATCATGTGTATATGTAATCGCTATGAAATAAGCTCCATTATGGTTTATCATCAGTAATATTAGAATAGTTACACCTGCATAACCCCAGCTGCATAAACATTTCTCTGGTGATAAGGGGCTGTAAGTGGGGAAGGTCCCAGAAGCCCTGTTGACACCACCCTCAAATAAAATGATGAAGTGTGCTATGTGGAGGCAGACAGCAATTTCAAAGACGTCTTGACAGACAGAATCCCCTCCCACTCCCCGGCAAAATGTGCCCATGAATTTCTTTGCAAACGCGGAGCCTTTTTCTGGAAGGATCCTTAACCCTCTGGGATGAGGAGAACGGAGGTAGGAAACAGAGTGGGGAGAAAGGACATTTACACATTGCTCAGTGGTTGGATTTACAAGTCATACACAAGTGTCCGCGAGCTATCCAGTGCTTTTCCAAAGAGGCCTGGCCCATGTTTCTGGACAGACGCCAGAACACACAAAAGGAACAGTGCTTTGTTTTGTCCATGGCTAGTTCTGTACAAGTGAACAACACTAACCAAAGAAAGGCAATCCAGGGGGCTGGAACAATGGCTAAGCATTTAAGAGGGGGGACTGCTCTTTCAGAGGACCTGGGTTTGGTATCCAGAGCCCACACGGCAGCTCACCACCATCTGTAACTCCAGTTCCAGGGGATCCGACGCGCTCTTATGGTGCATGGACATACATGCAGACAAACACTTATAAACAAAAAGAAATAAATAAAAATAAACCAATCTAGAAGGAAAGAGAGAGAAGGAAGGAGGGAAGAAGGGAGGGAGAGAGAAGGGGGGCAATCTCAGTATGCCAAGCAGAGGAAGCAATGTGGAAGGGTTAAGACTCAGTTTCTCAGGATGGGGGACCCAACGGTACCAAGCAACAAGATGTAGCTCTGTTTCCTTATACGCAAGCGATGTTGCATCTTTTCAATAATTAAGCAAAGCTCTATAAGAGGCATTTAAAGAAATGAGGGCCAGCAAGATGGCCCAGCAATTCAAGGTGCTTGCCACCAAGCCTGATGACCTGAGCTCAATTTCCAGGACCCACACAGTGGAAAGAGAGAACTGACTCCCTTGGGGTGCCCTCTGACCTCCACATGCTCCATGGCATGTATGCACACACATACACACAAAATACATAAAATGAATAGGGCTTCCAACTTCCACACATGACCTGGAGGGAAGTCACATTTCAAACCCTGTCTTAGGTAGGGTTTCTATTGCTGTGAAGAGACACCATGACCACAGCAACTCTTATAAAGAAAAACATTTAATTGGGGCGGCTCACAGTTTCAGAGGTTCAGTCCATTATCATCATGGTGGGACATGGCGGCGTGCAGGCAGACATGGTGCTGGAGAGGGAGCTGAGAGTCCTACATCTTGCACAGGCAACAGGAAGTGAACTGAGACACTGGGCGTGGCTTAAGCACATAAGAAACCTCAAAGCCCACCTCCACAGAGACACACTTCCTCCAACAAGGCCATACCTACTCCAACAAAGCCACACCTCCAAATGGTGTCAGTCCCTATGAGCTTATGGGGACCAATTACATTCAAACTACCACAAACCCCAACAGTGACGGCTGAAGACACCAAGCCAAACTGACTGAGCAACCACCATCAGGTGTCCTGATCTTGCAAAGCCATCCAGGAGTAACGCAGGGCCAGGGCTGGTGGAGAGCCAAGCGGTTTCAAGAGAAACCACCATGTGGGCAAAAATTCTTACCAAGCTTTATTACATGGCTATGAATGTTTGAGCAAGCGCTCACCAGCTGGACTGTGTGTCCAGCCAACTGCCTTAAACGCACCTTAAAGGCAGGAGTCTGAGCAGGGGCAGGGGTGGGGCGGGGCGGGGCGGGGCAGGGGTATGGCTCTGAGCAACAGGCACTCACTTTTGCCTGACTCCCAGAGTTCGAGTCCCTCAAGCACCAGTCGCCTTTCATCTCGGATTTGTGGGTGTGCTCTCAAAGTCTACTTTGATTCCAGACCTTCGGAAACAGAGACATCCGTGCAGCCTCTGGGCCAAATGTCCAGAGGGAGGGAAGCCTCCAGCCAGAGACGACCAAGTGGACAGTGGTGCGGGTCCCTCAACTCAGGGACAGATTTGTGTTTCCTTTTGTTTCGTTTCATGTCAATGAATTTGGCGTGAAATTTAAAAACCAAAACAATATTAAAAAAATTGCTGCAGGCCGCAGGAATATATCATAAGAACTCAACTGGTTATGGCAAAGTCACTACCTGGAAGAATTAGGGAATTCCTCCAGAGGAAGCCAAATCCCAAGGAGTTTTTGGTGTTACTTGGCTTGTTATATATCAGCTATATTCTGTTATGAAAATCATGTGTGCCTTCATAGTTTTTCCAATTGACTTTCCCCTAAGAAGGACTAACAGTGTAGACTGATCACTCTCTGGACATACACATTCCAGGTATTTGGAGAACAGCCTCAGGAAGGCTTTCTCTGGAATCAGATTATCTCCCTTGGCCACTTTCAAGGACTACAGGAAACACCATCCAGGTGGGCGCCCATTGTTAGTCCCACGTGCAAGTCTCCTGACTTATGGTAAATTCCACAAGGAGACACCGCCTAGGAGAGGTGGATGTTAATAGCTTTACACAATTTAGCTCAGACCTTCCCTTTTATATACTGGGACTTCCAGGGCACAAGAGAGAGAAGAGAAAAGAGAATGGAAGAACCAGATGGGTAAGAACTTGAGAGGAACAAACTGAGATGGAGAAGAACTAGATTGAAGGGCTAAAAGAGAGGACTAGAGGAATGAGATGGAAGATGAGGAAGAGCCAGATGGGGAAGAACAAGATGAGGAAGAGCCAGATGAGAGAGAAGGAGACGAGAGAGGAGCTGATAGGGGAAAGAACTAGACAGATGAGAACCTAGAAGGGACAGAACTAGATGAAGGAATTAAGATAGAACATAGAGGGGACAGTAGATAAATATAGAGAGAAATCAGGCAAGAAAGGAGCTAGACATGAGAACAGAACTGAAGCTGTATATAAAGGATGTTATGCCAGAGGAATTAAAGCAATTGGACGATAGAGCTCTGTGTGCTGAGATTCTATTTCCTGAAAATAGTCCTCGCCGTTAGTAGTTCTCTCTCCTGAGCCCCTGGGATGTATAATATTAAGGCTGGTCCCTCTAATATTATACAAGAAAAAAATGTTTTCTGGGAAGCACAGTTGCATTGTTTGAGGAGAAAGCCACCAAACTGAGCCCAGCGGTGGTGGTGGGCGCCTCTCATTCCACCCACTCGGGAGGCTGAGGCAGGAGGATTGTTAGAGCAGGTATTTGAGACCAGCCTGGGATACATAATGAGACGCCCTATTTCAAAGAAACAAAAGCACACACAGGTCTGAGGGCGCTGGCTACCCTGCCTGGCACGTGAACAAAGGCCTTAGCTGACCGCTGGCACCATAAAAATCAAACCATCACTCCGTCCGCCAATTAAACCAGGAAAAGCTGGACTGCGGCCGTTCTGTGAGCTTAGGGCATAGCCAATACTTGAGCGGGGGACATGAAGAAAGTTGCTAATATATTAGACTGAGCACGTGGAGGAGAGGTGTGGGGTTTGGGGGAGGTGGGTATTGAGACAGGGTCTCTCTACGTAACCCTAGCCCTACCTGTCCTGGATCTCGCTCTGTAGCCCAGGCTGGCCTCGAACTCACAGAGATCCACCTGCCTCTGCCTCCCGAGTGCTGGGATTAAAGGTGTGCACCACCACCATCCAGCAAGGTGTGTTTGAGATATTGTGCATTTAACATAAAATTCACATCAATTCTGTGGTTGCTTTTTTTTTAGCATAATAACTAGAACATACATACATGCAGACACACATCTACACATAATTAATACTAATAAAAGTGTGTCTTTTTGTGTTTGGTTTTGTTTTTTGTTTTGTTGTTGTTGTTTTTGTTTTTTGAGGCAGGGTTTCTCTGTGTAGCTTTGCGCCTTTTCTGGATCTCACTCTGTAGGCCAGGCTGGCCTCGAACTCACAGAGATCCGCCTGCCTCTGCCTCCCGAGTGCTGGGATTAAAGGCGTGCGCCACCACTGCCCAGCTGTATGTCTTTTT